GATAGAGCACATTTGCATCTTGTACCTCGTTTTGAAAGTCATGCAAAATATCAGCAGGGATGGGCGTGTGATTTTTTTGTCATAAAATCGTAAATTGTACACTTCTAAGGCTGCGCTAAATCGTATTCCTTAGCAGTGTCGCTAAAGAGAGTGCGGAAACGGGTGAGGTAAAAATAAGTTTCTTTCGTAATTTTACCTCTCATTTTCCAAGGAACCCAAGTTCGGTAAAGCGTCAATTGTACGTTACATCACCCGCCCCATAGTTACATAAGCCTTAACAGTTGGCAATTCTAATAGTACGTCTAGTGCTCATGCGTGCTGCGAACTTTACGCTCGCAGTTTTAAAAACGTCATTCTCCTCTAAAAGTCTCCAACTGTTATTTTCCGCAAAACGAACAAACTAGTTTTCCGCTTTTGGGTGTCTTAATTTAACAAAGACGTTGCATCTCCTCAACATGAGCGAAGAGAATGGGTCATTGTATCTTGTATTCTCATGACTAACTTTAGCTGAATACTGTTTAACGTGATGTTACCGGAAAGATGAATTTTCTACAACATTTTATTTTAATTCGCCTGATTTAATAAATAATAATCAGCCAAACGAAACTCTTTTATGAGCATCAGAGCATTTATTAAAAGCTATGCGTGGAATTTGAGATTGCTTTTTGTGAAATTTGAAATTTAGTACTGAAAGGAAAAATGAAGAATTATTCAGAAGTAAAAAAATGTGTAATGTCCTTACATGAGTGATTTGTGTGGGAAATTCTTGTTTATGCATGCGTGATATAAAGGCTATTCTTATGGCATTATCACAATTTTGAAGAAATAAATTTTCGCTTAATTCTTGATAAAAGTTAGATGAGGACATGTTTTGTAGGACCCTCAGATCGACCGTGCAGTGTTGAAGAAAAAGATTTCGTCAACGTTTGCGAGACGACAATGGGTTTAAAAGGACACGTCAATCATTTAGCAAAAAAATTCAAGAGTGTTGAAACATCAAGTTCTCCATCGTTTCCTTCTCACAAACGACTGAATAGTAAAAAGGCCTTTTGCTCTTTCTAGATTTAGTTGACGCTGTAAGGGATGTTTCCCGTGGAAATGTTGATTTGGGAAGTTCTAATGAGGTACCCAAAGCCATGGACTGGCATCCATGATTACATCATGGATGCCAATCCATGGCTATGTACACTATGCTTGTATACACTTACATCA